CCCTCTCCCATGACGGATTCCCTCTGGTGACGTCGCTGCGTTGTTGTTTTTATTATTTTTATTAAAAAGCTTCAGAACAGAATAAAAGGCTGCTGTTGACTTAAGGAGTTGACTTCTTCGGCAGGCAGCCTCTGGTAATGTTTATGGTGGCTGCCGCTGCCACCCCTGACGTCGTTAATGCAACCCTTTCAAACAGAAACAGGAGTAGTGTGGTTTAACTTGATTACCGTCAGGATCTCGGGCTGTTGTTGTGAGGTGTTAGCAAGTGCAAATTAAGAAGCGCAGATGTGATAAGTGGAAGACTTCATCATCATGCTTTCGTGCAGATAATAAAATACCAAGGAACCTAACTATTAAAACCAATTAACAGGGTCGTAAAGACTTGGTAAATAAAAATGCAAATGCTTAGGGAGTAAACACTAGGCTGCTAAAGCAAGGCTGTGGCTGTGTGTTTTGTGTGTGTCTTCCATTCGATTGTGTCTCGATTCTGGAGGCTGCCTGGGCTAGTCCCTTCAGTTTTCTTGGCCAGGTTTTCCAGAAACAGATTGCCATTGACTCTTCTTTAGGGCTGAGAGAAAATGACTGGCCCGAGGTCACCCAGCTGGTTTTGTGCTGAAGGGCAGACTCTGTCCGTCTCTAAGCATTATATATTACTCAAAACAAAACAACTGGCCTCCAGAGGTTGTGAGTTCTCCAAGACCGGACGTTTTTTAAGAAGAGATTGGACAAACCATTTGTCTGAAATGATAAGAGGCTTTCCTGCCTGAGCAGAGGGTTAGACTAGAAGACCTCCAAGGTCCCTTCCAACTCTGTTGTTCTGTATTCTAGCCTACATTGTACCTGGATTTTTCTGTGATCACTTGGGAAGACTTGATTATTCTGCTGAAAAACTTATTTTCCCCTTCCTGGTTTAAATAGAACGGATTTCATGAAATGTGAGGCTTTGAACTAGGCGGGCCCAGCTTCCTGCTAGTTCTGCTAGGCCAGCAATTGGAGGTTCTTGGGGCTTGGGGAAGAAAAATGCAAAGTCCAATAAATTTATATAGTTTATAGTATCTGGTACCTCTTACAGTAGGTTGTTTTTTTTTTGGGGGGGGGGGGAAACTAATTTTAATGGCCACATATTCCTTGTCATCTTCATATAAGACAGATTTGGCTGAATAAAATTCTCAGATGTTTTGCCATTTGTAAGTCGTGTGTATCAACTGCCTTATTAGCTCGCCTCCTTCCTTAGGACAGCCTTGGAGGGGCAGCCTCTGCTGATATTGGGGGGCGATGGTGGGGGGGGGGAAGTCCGGGGTAAATAGGTTTATTCCTTAATCTGGAGCTGCTGCTGCTGGTTCCACTTGGAAGACTCTCCGATCGCCTTCCTTTTCTCCTCCCCAACAGAGATCAATGACCGAGAGCAGAGGCTGCAGGCGCTGAAAGAGGTGCTGAGGAAGTTCCCCAGGGAGAATTACGAGGTCTTCAAATACGTCATCTCTCATCTGAACAAGTAAGCCCCCCCCCCCCCCCCAAATTCCCTTCCGTCCCTCTGCGGTGAGCTGGAACCCTCGCCGCCTCCGTCACACCCACCCACCCACCCGGGAAGGGCTTTAAAATCTCCCATGGGGGTCGTTGCACAAACCCCACTGGGACAGCAGAAGGTCCCCCCTCCCCAGGTGAATCCCTTCCCCGTTTCTCCCAGTTAAACCACTTTTTCCCCAGTGCCGTGGTAACTTCGAACGATCACTAAATTCGGCTTCCGCATTCCCAGCTCCTCCCTTCCACAGAGCAGGGAGTGCTGGTGGCCCTGGGAAAGCGGCAGGGTCCCCTCTGGGAGGGGAGGGGGTGAGGGGCAGTGCCTGACCCCCCCTTCCCCCCGCCCTTTGTCCTTGCAGGGTGAGCCACAACAACCGCAGCAACCTGATGACCAGCGAGAACCTCTCCATCTGCTTCTGGCCCACCCTGATGCGCCCCGACTTCAGCACCATGGACGCCCTGACCGCCACCCGCATCTACCAGACAATCATCGAACTCTTCATCCAGCAGTGCTCTTTCTTCTTCTGCAGCCGGCCCATCGTCGAGCCCGCCGGCGCCACCCCCAACTCCCCCTCGGCCCTGCCCATCAGCGCCCCTTTCCTCTCCTCCACGCCCATCATCGCCCAGCCCTCCCCGCCCCAGACGCCGCCCCCCTCGCCCCAGTCCCCCCTCCAGTCCCTGCTCCCGCCGCAGCTCCAGGCCGAGCAGCACACACTGTGAACCCAGGCCGGGTCAGGAAGAAAGGCCTCCGTCGCGACGCAGAGGCCGAGACCATCCGCCCTGGCGCCTCTTGGCCCGCCCTCGCCTCCGCCGTTCGGTTCCAGACTTCTGTGGGGCTGAGCCATGGCGGGCTGGCTGGCGCCTCGGACCCCTCTGGAGCCCGGTTCGGCCTGGGGGCTGGCACGGGAGGGCACCCCTGGGCTTACAAGCAGGAGGATGCGGTTGGAGAGCCTCCCGGGCGAGCCTCCTTCCCATCGGGATCTACTCGGACCCACGCAAGAGAGGCAGGCTTAGCCCAGTCGGGGCGTTGGACCCCTCCCTCCTCGGCCTCAATCCGTGCGTGGACAGAGAGGACTGTGAAGCAAGGGGGGGGGCATCCTTCCCTCTCCTCCCCCCCCTCCCCAAGCACATTCCAGGAACGATGGAGGCCTCTCCTGCAGTGCTGGACATCTCACCTCGGTCCCTTCAGACCCCTCGGCTGCGTCCCCAGCAGTGGCTCAGGCGAGCTGGATCCACTCGACTCGAGCGAAGGCCGGAAGGCTGGAGAGGAAGAACCCGGAGGGTTGCTGGCTGGCGGAGTCTCTCGGGCAGGGCAGGGCCATCTCACTGGCCGTGTTGTCTCCCTGGGACGAATCGCGGCATCTCTCTCACTCCCCTCCCCCTCCCCTCCTCCCTTTCCCGCCCTGGAAGGATCTTGGTGTTAGCACTTAGCAGAGGAGAGGCAGAGGGGACAGGAGGGGAGGCACATGTCCATTTGGGAAGAAGGCTGGCTGTTGGGCTGTCAGGCCTGGGGTTGGACTCCTTTGGAACACTACGTTGACAGAAACACTGTTGTTCGTTGCGTGCGTGCGTGTGCGTGTCTGTTTGGGAGCAAGTGGGGAGAAGCGTTGCTGGCGAAGAGAGAGCAAGGCAAACCTGCAGGTGCCCCTTTCTTTCCATTGGAAATTGGGGGGGGGGGAAACGGAGGCGAGTTATGAGCGTGGTATATTCCAGAGGGCTCTTTCGCTGGAGTCTCTCGGAGGAGCCGAATCAACGGGGCCCCCGGAAGAAAAGATGGGTGAAAAAGAGAGCGGGAAGAGGTCCATGGGGGCTGAAGCGGGGAGCCCCGAGCCAACTCCTTGGGGAAGCTCAGGGGTTGCTGCCCCACCAGGAAGCGGGCAGCCCTGCCATGACAGAGAGAGGCTGATGGGAAACGCTTAAAACCCCTAGGCAGAGCCTCCTGCCATTGTGCCCCCTTCAGGGCCGCCACATTCCTTGGCACCTTCCCAAGCGGCGGCTGTTGTGTGTGGGTGGTGGACACCCTTCTGCGGAGGAAGAGGTTGGTGGCCGAGGACGACCTTCCCCCTCTTCCCAGGCCAAGGTTGACCCAGCTTCCTGGTTTGGGAGAAGCTGCCAACGAAGGGGGTTGCGTATCAGCAGTGCCTGGTAAACTGCCCTGTTAGTGTCCCTGGGTGTGTGTCTGGGTGTGTGCGAGAGCGTGCAAGGGGTATAGTCGTTCTCATCAACAGGGCAGTTTGAACTGGAGTTTCCACGGTACCACTGGGGTGGACGGGGGAGCGATCCTTCGGCCACCCTCACTGTCTTTTCGCACTTTAAAATGAAACCTGTGGTTTAATGCTGTTTTTAAGCCTTTCAAGAATACTTGTGTTACATTCATTGGGTGGGAGTGAAATTCCGGTCCTTCTCCCATCCCACCCATCCCCCCTCAGCCCCCCCCCTCCTCCTCCTCTTCCTCCTCCTCCTTCCGCAATCTCTCTCTCTCTCTTTCTCTTATAAATAAGCTGAATTATGTACTCCTTATTTTAGAACCACATTTAAAAGTTGTATCTGTGTCGGAATTGTGTGCTTTGAAAGCCCCTCTTTGCAAGCATTCCTCCTCCCTCCTTTTTATAACTCTCACCGCCTTTTGTGTAAATAATGGAAAACGGTTTGTTTTCGACTCCTGACAAGGAACACGGCATCGGCCCACCTCCCCTCCATTATGCATGCGCCATGTGAAACGAACACGCAGACGGGGGAAAAGGAAGCTTGTAGGGAGGAGGCTGAGAAGGCGGGGAAAACCCCCCCCTCTGGCTTTTCTCCGGGGTGGGGAAAACGCGTGGAAATCCCACCCGGGCTGCAGTCTTTGGGCTGCTGACCCAAAGGGAGGGCTGACGTGGGCAGGGGACGCCCGTTCCCCACCTGGGATGGGCCTTCCCTTACGCCCGCGTCCAGTGCCGCTGTGCCTTCTTTGTGAGTGTGCTAAAAATTTTCACCCTTAACAATTGCTAGCAGCTCTTGAAATTAGGGAAGGCGGGGGAAACCAGAAGCATCGCGGCGAGAAAATATCGGGCTCCGATGGGCGCCACAAATATCCAACCGGAGAAGCTGCTATCGGGAGGGTCTTTGGACTGGAACCATCTTGTAGGGAGGCCCCTGACTTCAACACTAAGCCCAGTGCTGGAAATGGGCAGGAGAGAGGAAGGACCGGATCTGCTCTGCCCATTGCACAGGTCAGCCTGTGGCCTTAAGATCTGGAGAGGGGAGCAGTTTCCCAGGTGCCTGAGCCAAGATCGGTGCCTCCCTGCAGCGTGGCCATGGCTTTCCTGGCCCGTCGCCATTCCCTCTTCTGGGACCAGTTGGCATTGGCTGGCCCTTCAACTGGGCCAGGTGCCTCCAAACAACCTGCCTACCTTTTCGATTTCCGGGGCCTTTCTTTTTTGGCAGCGCCGCCTCCTCTCCCGTCTAGAGGCGATGCCCGTTTCTCAATCCAGACAACGGGTTTCCATACAGTGGAGCCCGGGGCTGCCTCTTCTTTGTCCGAGGCCAGCTTTCCTCGGTCCCTCTTCCGCTGGAGGCTGCCGTGGGGTGGCTTTTCCCATCCCACTCCTGTCACCAAGACGGCGGCGGCAGCGTCTGCGCCTTCGGCCCTGCGCGCTGAACAATTCCCCGCGCGCTTTTATGGGCCCGCCTCGTCCCGCCACTGCGGCCTTGCTCCTTTCGAGTGCACTGCTGGCCTCGGTTCTTGGCCGCGAGGTGCCCAGCCGTTTGATGGTTCTCCACCTCTTACTAAGGCCCATCCGTTCCCCCCCCCCTCCAATGCCCAGTGAAAAACCAGAAGCGTCTTGAGGCTGTCTGGTCCCCGGGAGCCTCTTGGTGGGTCACCCCACGCAGGGTCTCCGCGGCCCACTTTGAAATCCTCGCCTCTGAAAAGGAAAGTTCTGGATTGCTCGTCTGAATCATTTGTCCTGCGGTGACAACAGCGGTCAAGGTCTGGCTTAGCTTTTCTTTTTAATTTTCCTAGAAGTGGATCCCTTCTGGCTTTGGCTCCCCCCTCCCCTCTTTATTGGTTCTCTAACCCAGTGTTTCTCAACCTTGGCAACTTGAAGATGTCTGGACTTCAACTCCCAGAATTCCCCAGCCAGCGAATGCTGGCTGGGGAATTCTGGGAGTTGAAGTCCGGACATCTTCAAGTTGCCAAGGTTGAGAAACACTGTCCTAACCACTGCTGGGGAATTCTGGGAGTTGAAGTCCAGACATCTTCAAGTTGCCAAGGTTGAGAAACACTGCTCTAACCAGCCAGTGGCTTCCCCTAACGCAGAAGGTCAGTTTGCCCCCACCTCACCTGGTCAGTATTCTTCAGAGGTCCCATTGTGGGGGTTCGTTGCCCCTTTTGGTCAACACTAGCTTAACCGTTAGGTCAAATCCCCTCGCTCCTCTTTCGGTAAAACGGACATACAATAGAGACATATTGTATTCCAAAATGTAGTTGAAAGCAGGGCATAAGTTATTGTTTTAAAGTAATCTTAATTTTTTTTTCCTGTGTATATCAATTTTTTTTTTAAAAAAAAAAGCCACATCCATTTCTCAAATTGTATGGGAATAAAACTTCTGAAAAGTTGGATTTAGTTCTGCACTCAGATCTTGGTTTTTCTGTTTTTTTCCTGGTACTTGTATTTCCACATTGTAAAATTATCTCTATATATGTTGGATTAACATTTCAATTGAAGAAGACAATGATGAATGGTGATAAAACGTGGTAGTAGTTCCAGCTAAACCTGTGCCCCCCCCCCCCAAAAAAACCCCCACTCTTCAGCAAAAGCAAGCAAGAATTACCGAAAAGACCTGTATGTAAAAAAGAAAAAGGAAAAAAAAGTATAATGGTTATTTCTCTGTATTTTTAGGAGCCTAACGACATCCTTTAGTTATTGGTGATAGACTATATTTCCTTTTTATGCTTCTATTAAGGACGTTTTTAACTCTTTGTGGTTCTTTCTCTTCCCCCTCCTCTCTCAGCCCATCCAATTAGTGCATGAAATTGTTGAAATCTCTGGGCAAACGAAAGAAAAAGCTCCCCCCTTTTTTTTGCTGAATTTAAACAGGAAAAAAAAATCATGTTATTTGCTACAGAGTATTGTATGTGTCTCAATGGGAATGGTGTAAAAACTTAAAGGCCTTATGTGATATGTATCATAGTTAATAAATCAATCTTGTTAAAAAAAAACCTGGCTTTTTTCCCCCCCTGGCATGTTTCGGTGGGCTTCTGTTCAGTCTTTCTCAACCTGGGCTCTGGACGATGGGTGGCAACGCAGGTTGGGGAATTCTGGGAGTTGAAGTCCACCCATCTTCGCCTTCCTCAGCCTGCTGCTGGAGGATTCTGGGAGTTGGAAGTCCACCCATCTTCAAGGGGCCAAGCTTGAGAAACGCCGCTCTAACGAGTCCGATTGCCAACTTGGTGCTCCAGCCATGTGGAATTGCCAATCCTCCGCCATCCCCGTCGGGCTGGCTGGCTGGCTGGGGAATTCTGGGAGTTGGAAGTCCGACTGTCTCAACGTGGCCGAAGGAGAGAAACACTTGACCTACATCGCATGGATCATGTGGAACAGGCCTCCTGTGCATCCTGCCCGCTTTCAAGCCGGATCTACGAAAGACCACAGGCAAGTTTAGAACTCATCCCCCCGTGCTTGTCCAGAAGGTCCAACTGGACCCTGCCGTGTTTGGCTGCCAGGTTGGCGAGGTGG